CCCATACAGTCAGTGTAAGGTGACAGAAAGTGCTCTGGCATCAAAGTAGGGGACATTAAATTATCTTAATGTTTTAATTATGTGACCTAGGTCTACGAGAGGATTTTAGAGGTGATTAACCCAAATATGACATTGCATTTTGAAAGCTATATCTTTTGATACTTTATTGAAGAGAGTGAAGCTGAAGGTAAGGGAAGGTGGCACTGCGTTAATCATCCCTGAGTAACCTCATACCCTAACATATCATGAACAGGAAACCATACGTCTAGAAACTGGGTTTTTGGTGAATGCCTATGCACAATCTATGCATTAAAATATCTCCCCACTGCAGTCAAAATAACACACTCATGCATGCTTTTGTAACATCTGAGCCAAGCAGCAAACTTGCAACCTTTCCTGAATGCGTCAGAGGACCTGGCTTTTGTTAAACGCAGTGCTGCTTATCGGGTGAATATTATGTTTTTGTCATTTGATCCCCTGTGTTTTAAAGGAGTGGCCAAATATGAGGCTGATGCCGAGTTCAGCACTTCAGTGAGTCAGAGTTACATTCCTGGACCCTCACTTGAAGTAACATTCGCATGTTTTCTCACATGTTACCATTTCAGTCAAATCGACGTGTCTCCCTGCTCAAACACGCAATGTGGTGTGTGGTGGAGCTCATCTCCACTGCTAGCCCTGGGCTTGCTTGTTGTCACGTAAACAGAAGATGCCAATTCGTCACTAGTAAAGCACACCGGTGTTTTGGAGAGCCAAGCCACAACATTTACGATCTGAGTAGTTAGTTGTAATTATGGTACTGGCGAAACGTCGAACTCAAATTGTAAATGTTGTGGCTTGGCTCTCCAACACACCGGTGTGCTGTACTAGTCACGAATTGGCATGTTCTGTTTCGTGACAACTTTTACTAATTGGCTGTGTCGGGTGGTGGAGGGTTTAACGACACATTGATATATTTACGCGGTCTATGCTGTTAAATAGATAAGAGGTGGGCAAGGGGTGCAGAACCATGGGCACTCGTTAGACTTGCAACCTGAGCTCGACTCTGGCCACAACGATATATCAGTGGAAAAGTGATATCTGGACTGGTTTTGGGTGCGCCATTACCAACCCACACTGACCAGCATAGTGAAGTATGGTCATGCACTCCCATAACTGACACAATGTCATCCAGTAGTCAAGCAAGAATGGGCTGAACGTGATCATCATTATTTAGACAGTAATTCACCATTCATATACACAGCGGTCAAAATGCATGTTTTTAAGTCTCAATATGAAAGCTATTTATTAATCTTGGAGCCCATGTTCATTGCTATTTTCCCCTCTGTGAAAAATTGTAGTACAGTATAACAATAGGAACAGAAAAGTGTCGATATTGCGTATTGTCGTATACCAGCCCATTTTGACTACTGCTTATACATGGTAAGGAGTGTTATCTTGTCACTGTGATGAGAAAAGTTAAATCTAGAGCAACCAGCGGGTCTACAAGTGTATTTTCCAGTGTTGTCACCTAATTACATACAATCTGTAGTATTAGTAGAGTAATAGTATATTGTATTCAACCAGGAGATGAAATACCAACCCGTTGAAATGCATTACACATCAGAAAGCCGTTGGGGGAGGGAGTCATCTTTGTAGAAAGGGAGCTGTAATGGAACGTTACCTCTAATTTACACCGTGGCTTTACACAAATGCTGCACTTCAAGAACTCAAGCACAGATGTAACATATGGTACAGCAGTAATGAAGCTATATTTAAGGTCTTTTAAAAGAATACACAGCTAACAGATATTTTAAGAGCCTGTGCACAATAACCTATATCGTGTCCTAAATACAAATCATATTTCCTGAGCATCAATAAACGGCCTAGCATTGTCTTGTGGTGGACTGGTCAAGTCTTAAAGTATAATTCGAGTGCTACTCAACCCTTGTAGTGTTTAGATCTAAACAGCTATCTTTATTCACTACAGTAATTTTGCTGTGGCGGTTCCACCTGAAGACGGAGGCTTATGTTGCTTCCGAAACGTCGTGATTTAATTTAGTTGTTTTCATTTTAATTTATTATATTTTTTACCTACGTGACTTTACCGAACAAAACTAAAAGTAATATTCCTATTATCAACAAGCACCATTATTTCGAATAAATGTGGAGCAATTCGTAAGTGGCATCATATTAATCATATTATCCGCGGATTCGATCGTGCTTGAATTCGCCCAGAAAATGTTTACAGTTACATGTCAATTATCCTATTATCCACATTTAAGCAAAGATAAAGAGGATTAACCCAAAGGTATGGCAAATTAATCCTATATGTATTTTTGCAGCAAATCCGTCCTTTATTAATGATTATCTAAAGATTTGACCAAACTGAATTGACCCAGAAAGATTTGTTTTGAATATGCGTGAATAAACAGAGATAATGGAATGTACTCATAGTGCGCCCCATATTAGTGCAGATGAGAGCCATTTCACTGTGATATTTGAGACAATGGGATTAGCGCTGTAGTGTAATTCCAGGCTGTTCCCTGCCAGGATCACTGTATACCAGGATGTCATGTCAGGATGCTGTCAGTAGGGGTTCCTAAAAATGTATCAACTGACACCAGTGGCACAATGAGGTTGAGTAGTGAAAAGAGGGCAAATGTAAATATTTTTAAATTGCAAAAATAACCCCGACATTTTGTTGGAACAATGGAAACGCTGGGAGGGCCTGGTTTGGTTCAAACGCAGGCACTGCAATTATAAATAGCAACTTAAATTCAGATAAGATGTTTAGCCTGCTTAAAACAGTTTGGAGTCCTGTTAGTGAACGCCTATGCAGGTTAGTGTGATGGAAGCGTTATTCTTATTTTTAAAAAAGTCCTGTAATTTCCCCCTAAAAACTTACAATGTTCAATTGACAGTCAGCTAAGGTGGTTAGTGCTGGTTAGTGCTCAATATTAATGATGGTCTGAAGTCAACGGTGAATGTTCACATTAATACGGCTGTGGGCCAGACTCTCAGCGATGGACAAGTACTACTCACTTTCCACAAAGTGGTACAGTAAGCATTATTATACCGGCAAAAATAAAATAAAAAGGTCCATTATCCTGAATTGACAACAGCAATGATGCACACACTCAAGTCAAAGTAAAACTATCTCGCTGGTCAAACGAATGAAAAGTCAGAATACGTTATGCAAGCCACCCACTTTTATTCAGCACATGAAATTTTAGAAATTCTGGGGTAAACATTTTATTTTCGACTTTTGTGTGAAAAGTGTGTGCATTAAAAAACGTGTTTTCTACCTATTTTTCCTTATTGTAAGGCAGTATTCATGCAATGTTTGTTCAGTTGTGCCCGTGAACCACTGCCAACCCAATTCCTTAACTTTTGTGTATTTTTTTACCCCCGTTAGTGGCCATAGACATGAGCCAACGTAAATCCTCGGAAAAACACAGCAGAGTATGTGCGAACCTAAGACAGCTATTGAAAATCCAGACGGAAATCATGAAAGTTAAACGAGGACAAGAACAGGTTGTTGTGGAATGCTGAACTTGATAATGAATACAGTATTAGCATACCAAATTGCCTGAAGAACGTGTGTACTACCGGTTATGATATGTGGATGAGAATGGTGAAATGCACAACGACGAGTGGAGATATGCATGCTAAGAATTACATTGTAACAGAGTGCCACATGGATCAGGATACCTATGCAAGTTAAGAGACGTCATATTGATTGTGGGATTGGGAAGGATCAATATTGCAAGTAGGTATGATGGCCAGTGGTGGAGATTAACGATGGAGTGACAGCCGAATTAGATAACATGAAAGGGCGGGCGTCCGTCGTGGAGATGGAGTAATGAAATCAGCTCGTGTGCAAGAACTAGATGAATTGTTGCATCGCGAGAACGTGAGTCGTGATTTGGGGAGGCCTTAATCCAGCAGTGATGATGAGAATGTGGATAAAACAATACATAAATGGGAACTTGCATTAATGGGACGAAGAATACTTAATATAAACTATGAATGACTACAAAACAATACATTAACGCTTAGCACGGTTGGCTACGTACGGTGCGAGAGAAGTTTAACATACATACAATACGAGCGTTTCGGTACATGGACAATATCGATAACTTGTGCATGACTAACGGTAAGAAAGGCATACAAAAGTCAATTCAATAATTAACCAAATTAGTACTTGAGTCGACAGGCTAAATTAATGCTTCCTCGCACTCTGTGTCGTTTCATGACGATACTTAAACTAAATTAGTAATTTCACCAGATAAGACCAACCGAGTTTTTTGGCTCTAATTCAGAAGCGACCTGGCCACAAATTATATCTCAACAAAGTGGCTTATCATCATGTGGAAGTATATCGTAGCCAAATACTCTGAACGCATATTCATTCGAAATGTGGATGTAAGACACAGGAGAACCCGGAAAAAACCCCACGCGACCACGGGGAGAGAGACGCAAACTCCAAATACGCAGACACCAGGGGGGGGGGGTCGGATTTGAAACCACGACCTCCTGCATACCAGGAGAGGTAGTTAACATCTCTGCACCACGATGGTCAGTGTAGATTGGTAAAGACGGGAGGAACGTGTCCATCATAGCACAGGCAATGGGTGTTTGCTGCAGCGTGGTCTCTGCTGCCCCACTAAGTAGCCCTTGCAGCCGTCAATAGTTCAACACAACACCTGCTTTATGCGTTGCGCTGGTCACACATCCCAGCTAAATCATCCACATCTTGCGACATCTGACGAGCTCCGTGTGATGCGGTGTATGTGTAGTGGGTTCAATTTAGGTACATATGTAAACAAGTCGATCAATGGGATATAAGCGACCTTACGCGGCGAACGAAACAATGCACGATCGAATGAATCAATTAATCTTGATTTGAAGCACAAGGCAGCAGAACATCGCGATTTTCACCTGAAGACGGGCGCCTGTGTTGCGTTCGAAACGTCGTGGTTTATTTTGTTTTATTTCTACCTACGCGACTGTAATCTCACCCAAAGTTCGGCGCCGCAGTCAGCGCTGCACAGCTGCTCCATCGCGTCCTTTGTCGGGTCTCGTCTCTCGTTGTGTGCGAGCGAGAGAGCGAGTGGCGGGGATGGTGATGTGTGGTCGCTCTCACGCCGCCTCCAGAAATCCGCGGAAGCGACGACGACGGCGGCGGTGGCAGTCGCCCACTCGCACCGCTCGGAGGATTCAGCTTCACCAATTGGAGGGGGGGGATGTTGGGGGGGGGATTTGGGGGGGGGGGATGTTGAGGGGGATGTTGGGGGGGGGGATGGTGGGGGGGGGATGTTGGGGGGGGGGGATGGTGGGGGGGGGGATGTTGGGGGGGGGTGTTGGGGGGGGGTGTTGGGGGGGGATGGTGGGGGGGGGATGTTGGGGGGGGATGTTGGGGGGGGGGATGTTGAGGGGGATGTTGGGGGGGGGGATGGTGGGGGGGGATGTTGGGGGGGGGATTTGGGGGGGGGGATGTTGAGGGGGATGTTGGGGGGGGGGATGGTGGGGGGGGATGTTGGGGGGGGGGGATGGTGGGGGGGGGATGTTGGGGGGGGGTGTTGGGGGGGGGTGTTGGGGGGGGATGGTGGGGGGGGGATGTTGGGGGGGGATGTTGGGGGGGGATGTTGGGGGGGGATTTTGGGGGGGGGGATTTTGGGGGGGGGGGATGTTGGGGGGGGGGATGTTGAGGGGGATGTTGGGGGGGGGTATGGTGGGGGGGGGGTGTTGGGGGGGGGGATGGTGGGGGGGGGGGATGGTGGGGGGGGGGATGTTGGGGGGGGGATTTGGGGGGGGATATTTTGGGGGGGGATGTTGGGGGGGGATTTTGGGGGGGGGAGATGTTGGGGGGGGGGATGTTGAGGGGGATGTTGGGGGGGGGATGGTGGGGGGGGGATGTTGGGGGGGGGGATGGTGGGGGGGGGATGTTGGGGGGGGGTGTTGGGGGGAGATGTTGGGGGGGGATGTTGGGGGGGGATTTTGGGGGGGGGGGATGTTGGGGGGGGGATGTTGAGGGGGATGTTGGGGGGGGGGATGGTGGGGGGGGGATGTTGGGGGGGGGGGATGGTGGGGGGGGATGTTGGGGGGGGGTGTTGGGGGGGGAATGTTGGGGGGGGGTGTTGGGGGGGGGGATGTTGGGGGGGGGATGTTGGGGGGGGGATGTTGGGGGGGGATGTTGGGGGGGGGGATGTTGGGTTGCTGCTGGCGCCACGTGAACGCGTGGGGTGCTGTCGGGGCTGCGGTGGCGTTCAGTGCGTTGCGCTGCGCAGCGAAGCCGGCGAGCCGAGTTCGATTCCCGCTCACGGCCACCAATACGGATGACGATTGTCTTGAACCGGTCCTGGGCCCCCTCCCCATCGGTCTGACTCGGCCTCAAATGGAGTAGTAACCTGGTGCGCGGTGCGTGAACGGCGTGGTGCTGGCCACTCCACCCCCTTCCGTGTGCTGTTCCAGCCTTCATAGGTGCTCGGTAACAGCACTTTCCCCAATAGTATGTTAAGGCTACACGGGGGATCTGTGTCTTTGCTGCCTTGATTGTAATTTATTCTGGGCGTTGTGTGTGCACTGCGTATGGATGTGGGACTCTTTTTGCCAGTATCATGATGATGAAAATGGAAAACATTTTACCCTTTCTGGCAATAATACAGTTGTTAAGATGCTCAAACACCAAATGGACATCTATTGTTAACTTTACAAAGCAGTGAATCATCTTGGCCCAGCCTACATCATTGACATGCACCCATATGCCCCCTAAAGGTCCCCTAAGATCTGGAGATATTCTCTGCATTCCCAGGTCGAGGTTTCGGTCTATGGGTGACAGAGCCCCCAGGATGTGGGACGCTCTTTCGCGAAATATCAGGAATCTCTAAGTCTGTGGACATTTTTAAAATACGCCATAAAACCCATTTACAGTATACGTTTCCGCTTATTAAACTTTTACTTCATTTCGTAAATTATTCTTAAAATGTATTTATAATATTAATTTATGCTGAGTGTCTGCTGCTGTGTCCTGTCCAGCACTTTGAGATCCTTGATGAAAAGGTCGATATAAATGTAATTATTATGAGTATGAAGTCTGATTTAACTACACATGCTTGTGGTAAAGCATGAAAACAAATATGCTTTGATGATATTATGCATCGTCCTTGAAACTGATCGGGCCACACCACCACCCAGGCTGAAATCCAAGAAACCATTCTGGATGCGCGCCTCCGCCCAAGCCAACAAGGGCGCAAACAATAACATCGGCACTCTCTGCACGGAATCGTAGGCGGCTATGGATGTGGCAAACAAACACCTCACTGAGGACCCGACAGTAAAAGTAACGAGATTCTCTCTACCACGACAACTTAAGAACCTCGCTAAGAGATTCTCGAAAGTAACATGGGAGACACACGTACACCTACAAATGAAAGAAAAAAGAATTGCTGTACTGCGACTGGTGAAATCCAAACCATAAAAAGCATTATTCTTTGGTTCTTTCGGTAAAGTCACGTATAAAGATACAATATTAAATTAAATACTAGCATACGACGTTTCGATTGCAACACAAGCAATCATCATCCATGAGTGGAAACGGTGAGTGGCAATGTGTAAAAAGCTTGGTACGGTACGAAAGCTTGAAAAAAAATTCAAGATTTCGTACCGTACCACTCATCGTGCTACTCATTGACATGCTAATTTCTATAACCCCTCTCTCCCCGCCCCCGCCCCCCTTTCTCTATTTAAGGCCTCGACACAGAGGCGTAGTTTTTCTTTGTGCCTATGTTTGCTCTCTCTCTATGTATCTCTGTGATATCTGTCTGCTTATATGTCTGTCTATGTTTCTGGTTCTGTGTTTAATCTCTCTCTCAAATGTAGCATTCTCAGGAAGAACGTAATTAACCAGATAGGGTGTTGACTGTTATGTTATCCGACTCTCTGTTGTATTACATTACATTTCTAAGTATACTAGATTTGTGTTTCTATTTAATTTATACCTGATGATGATTGCTTGTGTTGCAATCGAAACGTCGTATGCTAGTATTTAATTTATTATTTTATCTTTATACGTGACTTTACCGAAAGAACCAAAGAATAATTCCTGCAGTCACGAAAGCTCCAAATTAAGCATAAAAAGCATCTCCAACTAACGCGCCATCCGTGCATATACTGGCGGTGCCGCTGCGATCCAAACAGCGTCTTCTGCTTCCTTGGATTGTTTGAAAAAATACAGAGTGCTTTAAAGCAATGTTAACACTTCTGAGAATTTGCAACGACACCACAAGAAATGTGATGCCTCCGGGCTCTGGAGACCACCTGGAGAAGATTCCAGGCACGTGTTGACAACGATGGCGAACAAGTAGAGATTATTTGACTTTTTGAAGCTATTAACATACATTTGTTATCATGTTACAGTGTATTATCCGTTCTAGATTTGAAGCTTTCGTGACTGCAAGGATTAATACTCTTAGGTTTTTTCGGTAAAGTCACGTAGGTAAAAAAATTCATAATAATAAAATAATAATAAATGAAAATAACTAAATTAAATCACGACGTTTCGGAAGCAACACGGAGGATGATGGAGGCTTGTGTTGCTTCCGAAACGTCGTGATTTAATACAGTTATTTCCATTTATTATTATTATTTAAAATTTACCTACGTGACTTTACCGAGAAATACTAAGAGTATGTATTATCCGTTCTTTTCCCATTAAAAGCGATAGTCCCATATCAATATGAAAAAATTTTGAAGCACCCTGTATACAGAATTCAACTATAAACACGTTTCAGAACTGTTGCTTTGTCACCATAAAAATGTAAAAATACAGCATATGTGCGTATGTGTGAGTAGCGTCATGTTAATGTTTTCATCAATGCCAACATACACCACAATCACTTTCCCATGCCAGATTCTAAGGCTGTATTACAGACGCGACACCTGAACGCATAGATCTTGCTCTTGCAGTATCCCAACATCTGGGTGACACTCAAATACCTGTCTCGGTAGCCTGCCTTCCTGTATCCCGGACACATGCCTCCCAGATCGCAAGCTGCAACCTCCTATTCCTTATGAAACTACTGCTATTTTGCCACATTCTCTTCCAAACCTCCAAGTTTTTACCACAATCCCAAATTAAATGTACTGTCCTCCACATTTATATACCCAAAATTAATACGCTTATTCTATCTGCATGTTTAGGATGCATATTTGTTCGGTTGTTTATTGAGGTGTTTAGTTTGTTAAAATCACACGAGGAATTGCAGAAACTTGTTAAAGCAATGCAAAAACGCCTATAGTAACCTTTCTCAATTCAAAAACTTTAATCATGTTCTTCATTACTCACCAATTGACCTTTAGGCCTGCGCTCAGCAACTGTTTAAAATATAATCCTCATGTCTTTGGAATTACAGAACAAATCACGACACCGCTGCTCGCCGCAAACACAAATTAAAAGGTGTGTGAAGTCGAGAGAGTGGAATGAGTCACTGCATCTTGCCCCGAGGATGTAAAACGACAAAAACTGTGAATCAGAATGCAAAAACACAGGTTGTTAGGAAAGTTTTCGGTGTGGTGGTGGTGGTCAATGTACCCCTATAATCCAGTGACAGGTTAGATTGGTGACTCATACGTGGATGAGAGCCACGAAGATTGTCGTACGATACTCTCACTGCCTGGAAAACAAGTTTGTGCCTGCAAGTGATAACACAGGAAATTAGTTTCAAATAGGCAACATTTTTCAGGCTCTTAGGCAAGAAGCCATTCTCAGAATAGGGATGGTCAGATTTATTGAAAACAATTTACTGTAATTCATAAATTAATAATACAAAATATGCTTGCTTCCCTATAATAACTGCGATGATGTATCACCAGTCACTTGCATTCACAAGATCCTCACAAGACAATCTCCACTCCCCAAACACCACTTTCCTGATACCACTCATACACAGCACTAATTTGACACTCACCAGTCACCATGCACCAAACATTCATCAGATACCACTCACTTGACACTTCACACACTCATCACTCGCCTAATACATACTCGCATGACACTCCCTCCCCGTCTAACATTAACCTAACACTTAATCAACAGACACTCAAAACGACTCTCCTGACACTCACCAATCACCTTACATCATTCACAATCACTGCTCATTACCTG